CTGAGTAGGGCTGACATTGTGACTCTGGCCACTGATTGGCTAGGGGGCGGAGTCACTGGTATCTCCAGATTTTTCTGCCTTCTGCTTCACTGCCTGCAGCCATTTGAGCGATCTTGGCCGTGTCACTCGTCATGCCCAGACAATCCAAAAATGGGAAAAGGGGTGGAGCTGAGAATGGGGCTGTGACGGTGGGAAGGAATGGTTGACACCCATAAACTGAAGCAATGTAGCTTCAAAGCTAACCAAAGCTACACAGAGCTTGAATCCAGGTAGCTAACCCAAAGCTAGCAAAAAAGGCTAAAGAAAAAGCCTTTTTAAAACTTCAGAATTGCAGTGCTGAACGCAAATACCATTTTCTTTTCTTTTGAGTGACCCAAACCCTTTTCCGTAATAAACTATATTTTTGCCTCTGTGTCAAATCATTACATAGTGTTGTTTCTCTGGCAAACTCAAATTACCTAGTTTCATGAACCGAATATTAACAGTTCAAGAATATTGATCATTCATATTTTTATAGAATATTACATTTAATTGAATACCTTTAAATGTTATTGACAATTAAATTAAAGTAATCACTTACAAAACGTTACAATATCTATGTGTACATAGAACGAGTGTTGCTGGTTTGCCCTGGAAGTGTGTAAAGTAGGAAGAGAAAGCAGATCATACCACGACTCAGAGACTGAAAACCCAACGTTTGCAACCACACACGCTCATCAGTATGATACACTGCTATCTTGGTATTTTTGTTGTCCATAGACGATTTCTCTTTTTCATGTCGGCTGGCTCATCTGAATTGTTGCTGTGAACGGAGCAGGGCTAGTAATTTTAAGTTGATGCTTCAGAATTGCAGTGCTGAACGCAGCACTACCTTTCCCAGCAAGTTAAATGCCCAGTTTGCACACATCACACGTGTTTATTACACTATCTGTGCTGTATTTCGAAATACATCCAAGTTATAGAGGTTTTCTTTTTCTTAAGGTAATGGTCTGTATTTGTATAGCACCTTCTTAGGGTTCTACAACCCCCCAAGATGCTTCACAACACAGTCAGTCATTCACCCATTCACACATGTTATGGTGTGCGAATCCCATTGCTGCCTTAAATTGTGGGACTTTACGGCGTTGTCTGTAAAACTAAGAATACTGATGGAGAGAAACTTGTTGATTTTAAAACAAAGTCTTTGTTATTCCTTTAAAAAATCTTTTTCAGGATTAATTTAAAAAGTAAGTTTTTTTTATTTTGTATGGTTAAATATAATTTTTACCACCTAATTCAGATCCATTCCAAATCACATGAACGGATCGGACCATCCCTAGATTATGGTAAGGTTCAGGAGGTCCTGCCTCTATTCCACAGACAAAACTAAACTCCTCTTTCCAGAGCCGGAGTGGGAAGACCACCCTTTGCTGGTGGAGAACCATGGCCTCACATTCGGAGATATGGTTTCACTTTTACGTGGGAAAATCAAAAATATTTTTTTAGGACTGTGGCCTGGTGGTAGAGTGTCCACCCTGAAACTAGGAGATTGGGGTTTCAAATCCCGGTCGGGTCATACCAAATACTTTAAAAGTGGGACCCAATGCCTCCCTGTACACTCAGCTTTAAGGGGGTGGGGGGGATGGATTGGGGGGTTAAACCACCAAATAGTTCCTGTGCGCAGCCGTGTCTGCAGCCCACCGCTCCCAACGGGGATGGATCAAATGCAGAGATGAATTTCACCAGCGTGTGATGACTAATGGGACTTTGACATTAACATGATTAAACAGTGAAAACAAAGAGCTCACTTATGGGCTGTTTAATTATATAAACCCACTCAGAGCGTACAGCGAATCAGCCGTTCAGTGATTATTCTACATCCACACAAAGAGGCCCTCCTCCGCCGTACAGTCACGGTTAAGATGGATTTGCTAAGCTCTTTAATTTAGCCAAAGCCAAAGGAACACAAGGCCATTAACACAAACGTTATACGCAGACCCCTCCCACTGGTGTCATGACATTCAAGCTTAATGGAGAACTCGGCAAAGGCAAATGCTTGCCCATAAATGTTTCACTAAGTAATTCCACCCATATGAAGAAACTCAGAAAAAAATCTGTTGACATTATCCCGCTGATGTTGTCGGAGCATCTGCACAGGAAACGTATTTAATATTCACAGGCCTTCCGTCCTCTGACATTAGCAGCAGAAGATAATCCCTCACAGATTAAATTACATGTTGACTGGAATGTTTTGTGCTGCTAATGTTTTCATTAGTACAAAAAGGAATTGTACTCACTGGGCATAATATTAATACGTACTTTAAGGTGAGCAGCACTTGACATCCTTAAACGCCCCCCAGACCCGATAAAAGCCGAATGTAATTCAGAGCTAGAAATGCACGGTTTAACTGGTATAGAGTTGATATGATATAAATGGAGCCACCGGTAGAATTTTTGACTCTCCTGCCCAACCACAACTGTGCACGAGTGTCGTCGAGCTGCGTCAGCTCTGGACGAACTCGGCGGCTGCTGCAGCTGCGAGGACATGCTCGTTAAGACGATAAAGTTATGTTGGCGATAGGGACCTGGTTAGGGTTTAAGGAGTCTGATGTTTAGCAGAAATACATCCTCCGTAAATTATGCCAGGTGACAGTAAAGCTGTACCTGTGTAAACAGCTCGTTATTAAATACCGTTCCTTTTCTAACACTTGATGGACACAGAGGCTTCTTATGGTTTAGTTTGAACAGATTGCCTTCCCAGTTCCGGCTGTTTCTCCCGTTTATTAAAAACTAAACATCAAGTTTGAAACCAGCTCCTCTCTCTTTTGCTTTGTACTGACAGTGCCCACCGTGGTGACCAGTAGCGGTTTTAGGTACGGGCAGACAGGGCAGTTGCCCGGGGCGGCATTTTTTCATGACACAAAAGGGGCGCACAGGCGCTGAGTAAAAAAAAAAAAGAAATTGCGTCGCACCGAGGTTTTCTATTAACTGTCATATGACAGTGTCTGGGTTGGAAACAGCAAGTTGGCGCCCCCTGCAGCTGCAGGCGCTCCTGCTGACTGAGGACGTTCACGTGCACCGTGTGTGTATGAAGAAGAGGAAGGGGAGGGGTGCGGCGGGGGAATTCACCTCTGCGTCTTTCCCAAATAAAATGAGCGGGTAGGGGCTGAATCAACTGTATTAACATGGCTAAAGTCAATCACATCTTGATGTTCTTCCATATTTCATTCATAATATCATAAACACAGGCCTATCATCCTTTAAGGTGTTTCTGAATTGTGTGAAATGGCCGAATAAAAAAAGTAAAGACAAAACGATTTTGTGGTCCCCCCCCCCCAATCACTCAGTAGGGGAGCAGATTTCATATGATGACATTATTGATGACGTTGCATCAAGGTTAGGTTTTAATTTTAGTTTGTGTTTTCTGTTCTAAGTGCAATGCTGTAGTGATTATCTTTAGTTTGTTATGTGTGAAACATTTTTGCTATTTAGAATATTTATTATATATTATGTGCATATATTCTTAATATTTAGTTAGTTTAGTTGTTTTTGTATATTTGATTCTATATATTTTGATACAGTGTATAATGTATATTGCTTTACATTCTGATAACTTCATAGTAATTAATGTAAATATGTGCAACTTAGAAAAATGAATGTTCAATAGTCGTTCTAATAAACATGCCTGTGTGTAGAAAACGTGTGTGTTCGTGCAGGTGGGGTGGTGTGGTGGTGGTGGTGGGGGCGATTGGGGGGGGTTGCTCAAAGGGGGCCTCGCCCGGGGAGTAATTCCATGTAGAACCGCCACTGGTGGTGACAGACCAGTGGATCAGCTGATCTGAGCGCAGATCAGCACAAGGGAAGGAAACTGGATAACCTTCCAACCTTATTTTAATATTAGACAAAAAAACACAGTAAAGCATCATTTTACCTTCAGTTATTCACTCCAGAAGCAACACTTACCTTCTATGAGCAAAGGAACAACATGAAAAATGAATTAATGATTGAAGTAAGGAGGAAGAAACGTGATTTCACTTCAGTTCAAACAAGCTGGAGACAAACGTGGGGGCAGGAGCAAGGGGGCACCCTATGGATCCAACTATGCTCCCAACATAGGGTGGGTGGATGGATAGATGGAGTGCTAGCTGATGTTTTAAGCCGGGCGTACACTGTGCGACTTTTGCACTTTTTTGAGCAGATTTTCCACTCGTGCAAGAATCCACGAGATCAGGGCGAGTTTTGTGCCGAGCGTCGTGTCGTGTACAGGGGGTTACGAGAGGCGATTAACACCAAGGGACCACCTACCGATCAGCAATCGTGAGCTCGCACAAACTTCTGGCATGTTTGATATTTTGTTCGTCCTTCGTGAGGGTATCGCACTGTTGAAGCGGCACTGCGAGCGGCTGCGACCCAAAAAGTATCAGAACCACTCACGGCGCATGCGCATCAACACCGCTCGCCCGCTATTTCCCTAATAACACACGTTGTTCATTTTTATTTCTACACGTTTTTTTACTCACAAAGATTGTCTGGAAAGCGTGTTTGTCGTGTTCATGTCACATTAAACTGATCACAAAACACATATTTACTTAATTTCATTTTCCTCATCCAACCCCCATAAATCCCTGTGTGTCCCCCCTGCAGCGCTCCCGAAGGACAACAGGCAAAACAAAAAAAGTCTGAAGTGTTGTGTAAAAACTGCTATTTTTTGCATATTTTTAGGTCCGACGTGTTGCTACCAGACGTACAGTGTGAGCAGTCAGGTCGCATCCGAGAACTGGGTCGAGCACATGACTCGTGAGATCTGCCCTGCGAGGAAGTCGTACAGTTTGAGCTGAAGCTGAGTGCTACGAGTGAAAAAGTCGCACAGTGTCCGACCAGCTTTAGACTTCCTGAGTGGTTTCATTTGCATCTAGTTGTGCTGGCTGAGCCTGACCCCCATCTAAACACTGTTAACCCCTAAACCGTGTGAGGTCGGCAGCAGACTGACAAATGAGAAAACGCAAATTCATGCGTCTCACCTCAGACCAGCAGGTTCCTGATGTTCCATGGGAGGTCCATCCTGCTCCATCTCAGTGTTCGACGCACCACGTCATCCTGGTGTGACTTATCAAGCTGTTCCAACAACTGGAAGACATCACAAGTTAAACACTCATTATTTTAATTTGATGCTAATCATGTGTTAATGAGTATAATCCTTGCAATGATTCAGGTAATTTGCTTAATGCCTGCCTAGAGTCCAGATCGCAGCAATCAGTCACGTTTGATAAGACGTCTGTTGAAGGAACGGGTGTGAGGCCAGCATGTCAGCTTACCACACTATTACTGACAAGATAAGGGAGATAGTTAAAGTCTCAAATAAACCCAACCCAAGTTAAAAGGGACTGAACGCTTCAAGCTTCAGCACAGCAGACTTGGAAGGTGGTGAATAATTAGAATAGATGAATGAAGTGTGTGTGGTGGGATTACAGATGGACCACCGGAGGGAGGCAGACCAGTCCATCCTGAGGAACAAATGAGTGACTTCTCTCTCTGACTCTGATCAAGCAGTGGATGCTACGCCTCTGACAAATGGCTACAGCATAATGACCTGTGAGTGCTAACAAATATAAATTGTTTTCCCTTGCATTTTTACTGTCAGCAAAACAAATGCTCATTAGCCTTTTATGAGGGATTGTGTGAATAATAAATAGATCCTAATTACCCCCATCACAAATGCAAATGTGTGAATTTAAAGCAATGGTAGTAAAACAATAGAGCCACTCCTTTTGGCTTACTCTATATTTACACTTTGAGTTATTGAGCCATTAAAGGCTCTGATATATTTTCGCGCTCCTTACTCCTCCTTTACCTTTTTTTTATCTGTTTCTTACATCTGATTTAATTTGTTTATTTTAAATTCGATTTTAAAATCTGCTGTTTTAAGTTGTCACATTGATTTGAATGTTTTACGTTCTTGCTCCTGGAGAGTGAATGTGCTGCAGATAAAGCTGACTGGCCTTTTATTAAGAAGCCTATTCACTGATTATAATTTAGTGCATCTAAGTCGTGGAACTTCTTTTCCACAGAAATGTTGGATTTAATAACAACAACAAAAATAATAATAACAATAACAATAATAACAATAATGCGCTTTATTTATACAAAACACAAAAACATTTTACAACATAAAACAAGCAACAAAGAAGCCTAGTTAAAAAACCTCTAAAGTAGAAACTAGACAGTAAAATAGGTGCATTTATACGAGAAGACCTTATTGTAATGGAAAAAACCCCAATGATAGAATATTTTCTGCTTTCAAACGACTGCTATGCTAACGTGCACCATTGTTGTTACCTAAACCAGTGGATAACCTATACTCTATATGTTAATCTGCTGTAAAGCCTGTCAGATGCTGTTACAGGAGGCCTGATGATCTACTGTTTAAACAGGAGGCTTAAGCATGTCCCACATGCTGAGTGACAGTGGACTTATGGGCCGACCCTGTGGGTCTCTTGACCAGAACGTCAGCAGATTGTCCTCTTCACATACTGATGGCAACCAATACATTAAATGTTACGACAAAAATATGTTCAACGTAAATTGCCTCTGAAATGTACAATTCTGGAAAAACCTCACCCAATCTTCGTGCTGGTGCCATCTGTTGTCACTGGTGAGTGAGATTTGTTCTCCACATTAGAGCTATCCCCATGGGTAGCTGCAGACATGGTCTGACCCAAACGTGGATTTGAACCCACCACCTCCCAGTCTCTGGGCGGAAACTATAACCCCGAGTCATAACTCGTTCCATTAAACCGCCTCTTTTTTCACTATGAAAACCAAAATATCGTATTAAGATTCGTTTGAATATTTCATCTTTCAAAAATATTCCTCAGGTTTTCATTTCATCAACAGGTTGTTAGTTCATATCTTTGGCTTTGAGCACACCAACTGACTGAAAAATATTAATTCACAGGAAATTTCATTGTAAGAGTCACGAAAATAAAGCTGAATTTTTATGGATAAATCAGATTACACGGGTGTAAATAAAATCCAATCGACTGTAACACTGTTTAAAGCTGGGGAACACACACACACACACACCCATCATGTAGATTACACTCTGTCCGCAGACCACGCTTTAACTCATGGAGAGGATTATGGAGAAGGTGGATCAGCACAATGACTTTCATTCCCGTTATTGTTCGACAGGCAGCTGCAGCTCCCAGCTCCGCTGTAACTATGTGTGGATTAGATATGCCAGATCCATTAGATGGATTATGGTTATTACCACATCCCATACATTTCACTTGTCACACCCTGGTACTTTGGGTCACGTAAAGAGAAACAGTTTGTGTGATTGGCACTAGGGTTGTCACGGTATGAAAATTTAACCTCACGGTTATTGTGACCAAAATTATCACGGTTTTCGGTATTATCGCGGTATTTTTTAAACGGTGTTGCATATGTTCAGAAAGCATTGATAGTCCTGTTCTACACAAACTGAAATAGTTTTGAAAAGGTTTAACAGTGTTTATTAAACCTAAAATAACACAAAGCCTTAGCAAAAGTGCAACTTTTCACAAGTAAAGGAACTTTAGCTTCTTTTTCTGGAACATGTTACAGTAGTCAGTGCAGGTTTAAATTATACAAATCCAAACATTCAAAACATAAACAATATGTAAACAAATCAAAGAAACACCACTTGTTTTCTCATATACTTGTTTTCTTCATTATCAAAATGAAAATCTAAAACTCCAGTCCACACTTGACTTGAGCTCTGTACAAGTCAACCTTAAAAAAAAAATATGTATTTAAAATAAATAGCCACTTTAAACAAATTACTAAAATAACTACTACACTATGTAAGCAAATCCAAATGTTCAAGTATAAATGGCATTGAATAAGTAAACAAATCAATGACAAGGAACTAATTGTATATTTCTCTTCATCATCAACAAATAAGATGCTTCATCCAGCAACAGGGTGTCCGTGACACGGTTTAAATGCTGGCAGAGGACGCTGCGGCTGCAGTCTAAAGTGACTCGTTGCATTCTCCCTCAACCAAAAGTCCTCACGTTTAAGCTAAAATGCTAATGTTAACTTACCTTGCACTGGCTGTAGAGACGTGGGTGATGGTCACGCAGATGTGCCATTAGATTCGAAGTGTTGCTGCCTTTTGCAGACACTTGTTTCCTGCACGTTCTGCAAATGGGATAGCCGTCTTCTATTAACTGTCCCTCAGCATTTTTCAGAAATCCAAAATATGCCCATACTTCCGATTTAGTCTTCTTTGAGGGTTGATGGATGTCCTGGGCGCTGCCGTCTCCTCCTTCGGCCATTATTTCAGCTTCAAAGTTTTGGTGCCGTTGCAAACTAAAAAGTGCGTGTGCGCGCCGCGGGAACTTCAGCTGAAGCGACGGTGGCTGGTAAGGGTCACCGCGCCGAAACCGCGGCCACGGTAAACCCACCGAGATAATTTAGTTTTTTTAAAACTGGACGGTTATTTTTATTGTCAACTTTTTAACCGGGGTTTACCGCTATACCGGTTACCGTGACAACCCTAATGGGCACACAGCAGAAACCCACACCTAACCCTCATCTACAAGCTAAAACAGCCGATCTTAAGTCTGGCTTTAACCAAGTCTTAGTGTTAAAACAAACATGTAACTAAAGTTAATCAAACCAATAAAACCACATCACCAAGTATTACATATAGAAAACAGGTAAATGTCCTGTAATTGTATAAAGTGCCTTCTAAAGGTTGTACAGCCCCCCAAGGCGCTTCACAACCCAATCGGTCATTCACACGGTGGTGATGATGAGCTACAACGTAGCCACAGCTGCCCTGGGGCGCCCTGACCCTGAAGTTAGTAAAATGTTTTAAAGCATCTGTTAGGCAGATGCTTTTCAGGAGTGAATATTAAATAAAATGAATAAAACTTGAGTATAAATAAAACATCTAACTGAAAATGGTAAATGGCCTGCATTTGATATAGCGTCTTCTAGAGTCCTGGAACCCCTCAAGGCGCTTTACAACACAATCAGTCATTCACCCATTCACACACACATTCACACACTGGTGGGGATGAGCCACAATGTAGCCACAGCTGCCCTGGGGAGCACTGACAGAGGCGAGGCTGCCGAGCACTGGCGCCACCGGTCCCTCCGACCACCACTAGCAGGCAATGTGGGTTAAGTGTCTTGCCAAGGACACAACAACAGTGACAGACTGAGCGGGGCTCGAACCTGCAACCTTACGATTATGGGGCGAGCACTTAACTCCTGTGCCACCATCGCCCTAAAACTAAATACAGAACAGTTTGTAGTTTCTTCATACTTTAAAAGAGCTTCAACCCAACTTTCTGACCCTGGTCTGTGGTATAAAGTAAACTTTGTTTACATGTTGTTTCGACGGAGGTCAACGGAGCAGAGCCAGGGGAAGCTCGTTCTAAAGCTTCAGCTAATTGGAGCGTAGGCTCCTCCCCTTCCAGTCACCTCATGGGTCCATGAACGGGACTATAAAAGCTACTTTCTGCCCAATGCCTCGAATCACACACGTTCTTCCATTTAAATGAAAAAAATATATGAGTTATGATTGACTGTCACGTAATTTGAATTTCATCAGCTTGTAAAAATTAGTAAATAAAATTACTACAAATCAGACGTCACATATGATGTCACAACAGAATGTTACGTACTTACAACATGACCTGATTTAGAGTGGGTTTCTCCATGTTTAATGCTTCGTCATCCTGGAAGGATTCGAAGCTCACTAACTCAGCCTTTTCCTTCTCCACGTCTGGTTTGATGATGTCAGCAGGGGGAGATGCATCTGTGGTCCTACACGTCTTTTCATACAAAACCTAAAACAGCTTTTGCCGCCGTTTCTTGGCATCAGAATGTGTCTTTAAAACTCACGGACATCTAGGGGGCGATATGGGGGGTAAAAAATCACGATTTTTTTTTTGCAAAATCACGATGTCATGATTTTTTCAAATTTTACAATTCAGACATCTTGGAAGTTATTTAATTAAGATTTCAGAATCCTGCTATCTCTAGACAGAGACAGACAGACAAACAGACAGATAGATGGATAGTTGTCTCAAATGTCCCACAGGCAATCGCTATTTTCCTGTCACTGGCTA